TACAGCTCAGCAGCTGCTCTTAACTTTCTGCCTTTACCTAGATAAATTAACAGCAGCTGACCTCTAGAGCGGAATTGTTTTTGGGACTGTGGTGGTTGCTAGAATGATTTTACCCCAGTGGCACAATGAAAGCAAGCAAGTGCCTTCTGTGCAGACCTGGCTCTTCCAAACTTGACTTCGAATGTCAGACTGGAGTGGGGGGCTTAGACTTCCTCACCACCGCCCCCTTTTTTTTAAAGACAGGGTCTCGCTCTGTCACCCACACTGGAGTGCAGTGGCACAGTCATGGCTCACTGCAGCCTTGACCTCCCAGGCTCAAGTGATCCTTCCACCTCAGCCTCCTAAGTAGCTGGAACCACAGATGTGTGCCACCATACCTGGCTAATTGTTTTATTTTTTATAGACAGGATCTCCCTATGTTGCCCAAGCTGGTCTCGAACTCCTGGGCTCAAGTGATCCTCCTACCTCTGCCTCCCAAGGTGCTTGGGATTCCAGGTGTGAGCCACCGTGTCCAGCACTCTCTCCCAATTTTACAGGTAGAAAAACCAGCCCAGAGAGGCGCCTTGCCTTGCCAAGGTCTCCCTGAGAGTACCATCCATTCCAGGTAGCTCAGACACCTGCAGGATGGGCAGAAGGTACCAACCTGGTACTCAACTTCTGGAAGCCAGTGATGAGATGCCCCTACACATTCAGAGCCCCCATTAGCTCTGCAGACTGCTGTGGGCAAGGTGAACTCCCATGCATCCCATGGCCCTGATGGCTGTTTACAGTGTCCTGTGACTGGGACATTCCCAATAGCCAAGCGTTCGTCCAAAGTTCCTCAGTCTCAGGAACCCACCATGAAAGTGAAAGACGCAACCCCAGATCCCAGGTAGGGAGTCTTCAGCCCAGGGTCTTCCAGCCTGGCCGCCGCCCCCAACTCAGGAACCTGCCTCTCTCTCCCCGATCCCACGCAGGCCTTACCTGGATCCCTGCCAATCTCCCAGGATGGAGACCAGCACCCCCAACCCCAGCTGAGCCCAGGACCCTGCCCACCCCCTCAATGCCCCAGACTCTCTCCCACTGGCTTGGAGGTGTTGGTGGTGAGAAAAGGAGGCAGGCAGGTAAGGAGAGGTCGTGATGCTACGGGGCCTGCAAGGCGTAGGCCGGTCAGTACAGGCTGGAGCACTCTGAAGCATGGGGTCTGGGAAAGGGGGTCCTGGGGGTGGAAACCCAGCTCCTTGGACATTTCCTGAAGGGTTTGGGGTGTCTTCTGAGCCCCTGGTCCCTGAGGCTGTTCCAAGACCGGCGCACTCTGGGTTCCGTGAGCAGTGCGATCAGTCTTACAGTCTCCATTTTGTCCAACATGAAGTCCTGGGAGGGAAAAGAGATCTCTCACCTGACAGCGTTTTGGCCTCTGGACGCTACTTCCTAGGGACCAAAGCATCGTCAAAGGCTGACCTACTTCTTTAACTCTCACAAGGGCCCTGCAAAAGACGTGGTATCAATGCCACTGGGCAAATGAGCAAACAGAGGCTCAGAGAAGTTAAGTGACTTGTCTGATGTGGCACAGCCAGGAGTGACAGAGCTGGATGACTAGGAGTCCAGATCCTGGTGTAATTTCCTGAATGTGGTTGCCTGCCTTTTCTCACTGCTCCTCCAAGAAGCCCACCCTGACTGCCCCCAGCCTCCTTCTCTGAAGGGCATTCATTTCTTAAGGACCAGATGAGCCTCCATCTCCTGTTGCCTAGCAGAATGCTGAGCACATTCAGGTGGCTCAATTCATGTTGGCTGAGTGACTGACAGACGTCAATCCAGAGGCCCAAACTGATTGTTGCTAGGGACCCTGTGACATCACCACATAATTTCTTCCTTTTTCTTGGGAAGCAGATGAAATTAAAACACTGTGACTATTTAGATAAATGTGTCCTTACTCAGAAATCTCATTTCTTTGCGATATGAATAAGTTACAAGCTGTATATAACTAGGGATGCCAATTACACAGACTTCAACTGAATGGTGCCCACTGAGTTGTGCCATACAGCGGCCTCGATACTGCCTGTGAGGTTCCTGGAGAAGACCTTCTTAACTGAGCCACAGGCTTGCTCACTGCTGACTGTTGCACTGGACACTAGGGAAGAGACCTGCCCCTCAGTGTCCCTGGGGAGCTAAGTGTCCTGTGTTTGGACATCTGCACTGAACCTGCCTCAAATGAGGTAAGCACGTTCTGACCTAGGATGAAGTCAATGCTAAAGGTGGCAGACAGGAGAGTATGGAAAGGATGGGTCTTTGATGACTCCACTGAGCCTAGGATCACACCATGCCTGAAACCCACCAGACACCAAACTTCCACTCATGACACAAGATGTGCCCTGGTAGAGGAGCCAAATGACCTCAGAAAATAACAAAGTGGGAAGACTCACTCTTCTCAATTTCAATATTTACTACAAAGCCACAGTAATCAAGACAGTATGGTACTGGCATAAAAACAGTCATAGAGATGAATGGAATAGAGTCGAGAATCCAGAAATAAACTTTCATATTACAGTCAACTGATTTTTGACAAGGGTACTGAGAAAATTCAAAGGGGAAAAATAGAACTTTTTAAACAAATGGTGTCAGGACAACTGAATATCCTCATGCAAAATAATGAAATTGGACGCCTACCTTACATTAAAAAATCAACTGAAAATGAATCACAGACCTAAACAGTAGAGCAAAAACTATAAACTTCTCACAAGAAACAGGTGTAAATCTTCATAACCCTGGATTAGGCAATGTCTTTTTAGATATGACACGTAAAGGACAAGTACATACACATACCCAAAGTAAAACTATTGGATTCTTGGCCGGATGCGGTGGCTCACACCTCTAATCTTAGCACTTTGGGAGGCCGAGGCGGGTGGATCGCTTGAGGTCAGGAGTTCAAGACCAGCCTGGCCAACATGGCCAGGTGTATTCTCTACCAAAAAATACAAAAATTAGCCACGTGGGGTGGCGGCGCATGCCTGTAGTCCCAGCTACTGGGGAGGCTGAGTCAGGAGAATCACTTGAACTCAGGAGGCGGAGGCTGCAGTGAGCCAAGATGGCGCCACTGCACTCCAGCCTGGGTGACAGACGGAGACCCTGTCTCAAACAAACAAACAAACAAAAAAACAAACAAATTGGATTCCATCAAAATTCAAAACTTCTGTGCTTCAAAGGACACCATCAAGATAGTAAAAAGATAACATGCAAGATAGGAAATATTTGCAATCACATATTTGATAAGGGACCTATATCCAGAACGCAAAAAGATTTCTTACAACTCAACTAAAAAAAGACAAATAGGCCGGGCACAGTGGCTCATGCCTGTAACCTCAGCACTTTGGGAGGCCGAGGCAGGTGGATCACTTGAGGTCAGGAGTTTGCGACCAGTTTGGCCAACGTGGTGAAACCCCATCTCTAATAAAAATACAAAACTTAGCTGGGTGTGGTGGTGCATGCCTGTAGTTCTAGCTACTCGGGAGGCTGAGGCAGGAGAATCTCTTGAACCCGGGAGGCAGAGGTTGCAGTGAGCCAAGATGCGCCACTGCACTTCAGCCTGGGCAACAGAGTGAGACTCCGTCCCAAAAAAAAAAAAAAAATCAAATTTTTTAATGGGCAAAGAATTTAAATAGATATTTCTCCAAAGGAGAGATACACATGGCCAATAAGTGCATGAAAAGATACTCAACATCATTAGTCATCAGAGAAGTGCAAATCAAAACCACAATGAGATGCCACTTCACACCCATTAGGAGGGCTAAATTAGAAAAGATTGACAATAGCAAATGTTGGCAAGGATGTGGAGAGATTGGAACCGTCGTACATTGATCATGGGGATGGTAAATGGTGCAGCCATTTTGGAAAAGAGTTTGGCAGTTCTTCAAATGCTAAACATAGAGTTAACAGATGACCCAGAAATTGCACTCCTAGGTATGTGCCAAAGAGAAGTGAAAACATATCTCTGCATAAAAATTTGTACACAAATGTTCATAGCAGCAATATTCATAATACCTAAGGAATGTAAACAACCCAGATGTCCATCAGCTGATGAATGGATAAACAAAAGTTCTATCCATACAAATAGGCCCATACCATGGAATATTCAGCCATAAAAATAAAGCACTGATTCGTGCTAGGGCATGGATGAACCTTGAAAACATGATGCTGAATGAAAGCAGTCAGATGCAGTGTATCTTTTTGGGGAGTGATGAAATGCTCTGGAATTAGACAGGGGTAATGGCTGTGCAATTTTGACTATACTGAAAACACCAAAGTGCATAATTGTAAGGGATACATTTTATGGTATGTGAATTATATCTCAATAAAGTTATTATTTTAAAAAGACACGCTCTGTTGTCAAAGCCAATCTGATCACGTTTTCTGTTACTGCAGTAACAGTATCCTGACTGATGGGGGCGATGAGGAGAGAAGCCCAGTGGACTTAACAGTGTGAAGTTTAAGATGAGGACCCTGTGCAAGAGGCTCCCTCAGTCACTGAAATGCCCGCTGCCAGCGTACTCATATATGTAAGAGTGTGATCATACCTGTTTGCATCTTTGTGCGTGCAAGTTGATGTTTGTGTGCTTGTTTGCAGGTTTGTCTGTGTGTGTCTCATGTGTGTTGGTGTGCAGAAAGCACATGTGGATGTTGATGGGTATATACCTGTCTCTTATACACATCTAGATGTGTATAAGAGACAGGTGTGTGTGTGTGTGTGTGTGTGATGTGTCAGAGTGGAGCTACATATAAAGACCAGGTGGGAAGTTCCTCTATGCACCCTCTACACTGACCCTTCACCTAGTGGGTGCTCAGGTTTGTTGGGAGACTAATAGAGACCTTAGGACCTTACTGCACCAGGCACCCATGTAGCTACGGAAAGAAGAGCTGATGGGGGGCTAAACACAAATGCAGCCTGAGCTACGGAGCAGGACTAGCTCAAGTTGGAGGCTTGCCTGGGGCCATCAGGAGCCCCGCGGCCATCTGTCTATCCTTACCTTAATCAGATTGAGCTTGGAGAAGAGATCCATGCTCTTGGGCATGCTGTGGGCAGAGGGGCAGCACTGCCGGGCCATGTTGGTGATGGTCATTTGCATGTAGCTGAGCAGCTGATCCTGCAAGAAAGAGAAGGAGGAGGCGGCTCAGGCTGTCTCCCAGCATCCCCTGCCCCTGCCCCAGCCCCAGCTCACTCCAGCCAGCAAAATGTCGTGGACAGAGCTGGGACGCCGGGAGTGTCCTTCTCATCATGGTCTGTATTCCTCTCCTGCGGGGCTTGGTTGAGTTCCTCCCCACCTCAGAGCCTCAGCATCCTCCCCTGCAAAGAGGGAGGTTGGACTAACTCCTTTCAGAAGGGTTTCCTGGCTGGAGGCATCAGGGTCCACACCTCGTTAGAATCTGAGGACTGGGAAGGGGCATGGAGTGGGGTCCTGGACTTCAGACCTCCAGGATCCTGGTCTGCTGCAGCAGCTTAGAGAGAAAGACCTCAAAGGGGCTCTGTAGACTGTGACCCCTCCAGCTCCCTCCCTAAGACCCTTGCCTCGGAAGCCTCGTCTTCAAACTCAGAACCCCCAAGGCCCAGTCAGTCTGGACCTGAGCAGGCCTCACACTCACTCCATGACCTCATCCTGTGCAGAGAAGGTGTGCCCAGTGCAGCCCTGTGACCAAGCCATGGTCCCAAGTGTCCTCCCGCAGTCCCTGAGGCCAGAAGAACATAGACTGTTGCCTCTGTTTATGGTGAGGAACCGGGGTCCAGCGGTGACCAGACCACATTCCCAAGGCCAGCAAGGGGCAGTGCAAGAGCTGAATTCTGGAATCCCTGGAATTCATGGCCATGGACTTTGGCCATGACTTGTTCTTTCTGAGCCTCATTTTTCTCATTTGTAAAATGAGTGTGAGTAAAATTCACCAGTATTCAAGAACACCTACTCCAGGTCAGACTCTGTGCTAAGCACTGCCTGGAATGATCAGAGACACACCAGGGTTGCTGAAGACAGTGCATAATAACCACTCACTTAAATGCCATTATTTTATTATTAACCACAAACATTATATAAGGACCAAGTGCTCGGCACAACACGAAGCCCTGGGACTGGGCCAGTGGATCCCAGCTCCGGTTCTTGGCAGAGCTCGGTCCTGAAGTATCTGTGGCCTCAGTTTTCCCATCTGTAAAGTAACATTTGACCCCTCTAAGAGAGGTCCTTCGAAAGCAAACTGCCACCAAGGAGAAGTAAGTGGTGCAGGTACATCTGTGTGTGTGTCTGTCTCTATGTATATCTCTGCGTATGTCTGTGTGTCTGTACATGTGTTTGTGTCTGTGTGTGTGTCTGACTGTGTCAGTGTTTCTGTGTGTCTGTGTGTGTCTGGCTGTGTCTGTCTCTGTGCATTTGTGTGTATGTGTCTGGCTGTGTGTGTTTGTCTATATGTCTGGTTGTGTCTGTGTCTCTGTGTATGTCTGGCTGTGTGTGTGTCTGTGTGTCTCTGTGTCTGGCTCTGTGTGTGTGTGTCTGTGTGTGTGTGTCTGTGTGTGTGTGTCTGTGTGT